TCCTCACCCCCACCCCAAGTATACTCCACTCTGCAACCCTCATTCTGGACTCTTCTGATAATCATAATGCCCTAAAATATATTAATTTTAAACTATTCCAATCTTCTTTTGATGTTTCTTGGATCATCCAAGATTTTGCCCAGAGCACCTCTCAGTATTGCAACTCAAGGGTTGAATTTGTTTTTCCGTTCTTTCAGCTTGAGAAATGAGAAGCAAGTTCTGTACCTCTCTGGGTTGATCACAGCTCAGGTTCCCTGGCAAATCCTGGGGCCATGACAATACTCTCTATGTAATCTCTATCTTAAAAATGCTAGATAGAGATGACAGAGCCAGTGACGGGAACTTCCTCCAGAGCATTACACCAGGGATAATATCCTTGAAGGGGAATGAACTGAGCACCTGATGGTTGTCCTTGTTACTACTGTGGTGGTTGGAGATATAATGCCTGGGCAGGGACAGTGTGTCTGACAATTTGGTAGAAGGATAGAGTCAGGGTGCCCAGGCAGGTGAGACCAGAAGCTTGTCCATGAGATGGCTGGGGCCCTAAGATGTCAAAAGGGCCATGGGTACCATCTGGCCTGTGACAGAGCTTCTGCTGGCAAAGAAGCCTCAGACAGTCCATCTGGATAGGGGCCAGTCTAGTGGGTGGATGAAGGGAGCAGTCAGAGATGGCCAGAGTGAAGCATGCCAGCCATATGGCTGTAGCATACATCAGTCAAGGGCACCCAGAAGTGTCATCCCCACTAATTCAGGGGTTAACTGCACCTTCTTCTAGGGAGAGACTCTGAATATAAAGGCAGGCACGCTCCTGGCAAAAGGTCACAGGCCTCAGGTTGCTGGGATCAGTCGGGGAATGCTGCCAGTCACCCAGTAGGTGGCAGCATGAAAAGTCATTCTTCTCTGGACAGTTAAAAGTGGCCAGCAGAGGATCTTATCTTTCCTGCTGTTAGCTAGACAGTGATGTGCCTTGTAGGCAGCTGTTCAAATGGCCGCTGAGGGCTGTTTACTGCTCTGTGTCCTGTCTGGCTCTTTCTTCTACATTCTCCTGAGACTTCTTCCTTTTGCTGGTCTTTGAAGCACTTCAAACTCTTGGTTCCAGGATTCTCATCCCTCTCTGTATTGTTTTCAAGTGCCTTCAGGTTATTGTACTACATATCCATTGAGCAAGGCTTGCTTGCCGAATAACAGGATGCAGAATAAGTCAACCTTGACTGCCTGACAATTCTAATCACACAGTTCATTTTGTTGATGATGAGTCCTTACTGAACACAGAATGCTACTCCGAAAGGTGTATAGGAAGAACACACTATTCCTATCCTAAGCTCCAAGAGTTCAGTGTCATACTTTCAAAAACTACTACAGGATGGAAGGTGCTGCCTTAATCATAAAGAAAGGAGAATAAAAATGGAAATTATACTGATGGAGCAAGCATAATGAGCTTAGTTGCTTAAACTGACAAATCTTTGCTTTTCATTGAGAAGATGCCATAGGCTCAGATTACTACTCAACCTAATGCCAACCAAAAGATACCACCATGACAACAATGAAATACCTTCTGACTCCAACAACAATAGCAAAGTTCACAAAGACAGTAAGCTACAATTGCGGGTGAGGTTGTGGAGAAACTGAAATGCTCACATTGCAGATGGGGATATAAAATGGAGGGATGCTCCCCAGAAGTGCTTCATTTCTACCAGAAACAAAATTGCAGGCACTGCCTATCAACAAACATGAACTCATACCTTCTCAGCCCCTGCAGTGTTAGCTTAAAAGTTGGCTTCTCTAGCCATTACATTAGCCCTACTGGTCTGCAGCTACCTTAACTGTAGACATATTGTCTTACATATCATCAACAGCTTTGGGACTAGGATAAGAGACAGAGGGCTTCCCATACTGGTTGGCAAGACTTGAGGGAGACTGCCCCTGGTAAAAGCAAGACTCTGATGGTGAAATTCTGGTCATGGTGGTAGAGAGACTGTGGCATTGCTCTGGAGAGTCTTTGACAAGGTGTAACCTCAGGCTTCTTGCATTTATGCTGGTCACAGTTATAGGTTCGTTTGTCAGGTGTTTGAAGGAGAAGCTGACTTATAACTGCTCTGAGGCATACCTTGCTGAATGATTGAGGAAACCAGAAGCTTCTTAGATTTGTGTTGCTGGACTGAAGCCAGGCCTTTTTCTAATTAAGGGATTGTGTTTTGCTATTCTCTTGCTTGGGATTACTGGACTAAAACTGGACTTCTATTTTAAGATGTTCTTTGCCTTTCTCCACTCCCCAACATACTTCTCTGGAAATTCTATAAACTTTGAGAAACTACTATAGTTATAGAAAGGCTTCAGGTCTTTTGTTCATAGGATCGTTATGAGTCAAACTCGACTTGACGACAAGCAACAACTCAATATCACAATTATGAGTTAAGTCTGTGAGACAACAATGGATATTAAACCCATATGATTTGTGGAAATAGGTGCAGGAGCATGGGGGTGGCATGTCTGATGTAGTAACTATCTGTTTGCTGCTATAGATATTATTGATGGGGTAGGTACCCCCTTATGAAGCAAGGAGAAGGCAGACTCACCAATCCTCACATTACATCTGCTCCTTTTCCAGCCCCCATCCAAAAAATACTTAAGGACACTTTTTTTTATTTGCTGAGTTTTAACATAAAAGGACTA